CGCAAGAGTTATTATGTAAGTAAATTTTTAAAATTCATGTGATTATCTTCAAAAGATGTAAACAAAAACAAATATTGGATCTATATATATAACGCTATATTATTTTTATACTATTTTTTTATGCTGATTTTTTTACGCTGATTTTTTGCACTGTTATTTTTTGCTATTTTTTTACACAGTTTTTTTTACAATTTTTGCTATTTCTTTTTATGCTGCTATTCTGCTATTACAATAGAATTACAAGAAAAACTTAACTAAATACAAAATATAAAATTTTCTTGAAGAAATTGTTCAAAACAATAATATTGCCATTTCAAATAATAATCCTTATATCTTAAAACCAACCTAATGATATATTAGCGTGCTAAAATTTTGGAAATATTTAACATATCAAAGGACGAATTTAATAATATATTGGTAAGAATTTAATAAATATTAAATAATATATTATTAGTTTATTGATTTATCTCTTTTCAAAGTCAAAAGTACGCTTTGTATATTGGCCTTAAAAATTGACTTTACTATCAAATATAAAGATCAAGATATAAGCCATATTGCAAAAATTATTGAAAAGGTATATTATATATAATTATTTAATAATTAAAAAATATTAATTATTATTTTGAATTTTTTTAATAGTTCAAAAAAAGAAATAAAAATATACAAGTAGGGGAAGGTAGTTGGCTAATAAAAGAATGTGTAAAAATACATCTGCAACATAAATGTGATTATAACATTCGCAAAGATAAGAAACTTCAAAAAAGTAGATGAAACATTAGATACCAAAGATTTTATTTTTCTAATATTCAAATTAGAATCTAAATATAATATCTAAATTTTATTTATTTATTAAAAAAGAAAATGCAGCTAATGCCAATGCCAATGCCACCACTATTATCACCAATACCAGTGTCACCAATGCTAATACCAATATCAGCGCTAATGTCAGTGCTAATATCAGCACCAATACCAACGCCAATGTCAGTGCCAATACTAACGCTAATGCTAGTGCCAATGTTAGCGCTAATTTCAGTGCTAATATCAGCGCCAATGCTAGTGCTAATGTCAGCGCTAATACTAGTATCAATGTCAGTACTAATGCTAATGCCAATGTCAATATCAGAGCTAATGCCAGTGCTAATATCAGCACCAATGCTAGTGTCAGTGCTAATGTTAGCGCTAATGCCAGTGTTAAGCCTAAACACTACATTGTTAGGATAATAAAGCTTATTTGCTAATAAGAAATTTAAATTATAAACTATGAAAGAAATAAATACGAATTTATTTAAATTGAAGGGTCAGGATGTCTTTATTGATAATTTATGTTTTAAGAAAATAGATATTAGCAAAGATATAGTTTTTATGTTGCTAAGATTATACTTTATTAATTATACGATAGAAACTTGTTATTTTATCAAGGTGATAATACAGGATATTTATATAAATATAATTATAAGAAAGAGATAATAAATATAATAGTGAAAGTAAATATAACTATGATAATAAAGATAGTAAATATAATAATGATAAATGTAATAATAATGAAAATGAATATCACAACGATAACCATAATAGCAGTGAAATTAGTGAAAATGATGATCATGATTTTCCTAGTGATCATTGATGACATTAATTGATACAGTTATTTGGGACCTTTGCAATAGAAAAGTGAGAAACAGCTGGAAAAAATAAAAATTGAGTTAATGCTAAATCTGAACATATTTTGACTTAAAAATCATATTTAGCATATAAAAGTAAAATTGATTTTTTCTGGCAGTTTCCCCCCTTTCTATTGCAAAGGTCCCATTTAGTAACGCAAATGGGTTATCACTAACAATAGCATCAATATCAGCACCAATGCTAACACTAATGTCAGCGCTAAAGCCAATGCTAATGTTAGAGCCAATGTTAGAACCAAAGCTAATGTTAAAACTAAAGCCAATACCAAAGCTAGTGTCACCTCTAATATTAGTAAGAAAGCAAGGCTTTTAAGGGATTATTTAGGTAACTTTTAAATTTTTATATTTAATACATAATAATAAAAATTCTTAAATTTAATTAAAAAAGAAAATGAAAGTGAAGTTAATACTAATGATAAAGCCAATGAAACCAGTACTACTTTCAATATTACCTTCAATCCCAATACAAAATTTAATTTATCTTATGATAAAAATTTAGGTAAAACGAAATTCTTATTAATTCACTATATAAATGATAATTTTTATATTAACTTTATATTAACAAATATTAAAGAAAAAGAAAATGAAGATTCAATTAATGAAAATAAAAAAAGTAAGAAATTTATCTTTTTTTTTTTTTACAAATTTATAATACTCATTTTTTTATATTTATTTTGATTAATTTATATTAAAAGAAATATTACAGAAAAGAACAAGGAGTGCAAAAAGGAAAAAATTTAAAAAATATTGATTTTTTAATTTTTTTTAATTTTTATTTTTTTTTTTTAAGTTTTAAATTTTTATTATATTAATAAAATCTAAATTGTTTAATTAAAGCATATAAAATATGTTTTATCTATGATTTTGCATCCTTAAAGTATTACAAAATATACGTTTTTCTGTAATCTTTGTATCTGTTAAAGTATTATAAAATATATGTTTTTTCCTTATTTTTTGTATACGTTTTTTCCCACTTTTCTGTATTAAGTTTATGGTTTTTTACATCCGTTAAAGCATTATAAAATATACATTTTTTCCGTAATTTTTGCATCTGTTAAAGCATTATAAAATATATGATTTCCTTATTTTTTATATATGTTTTTTTCCACTTTTCCATATTAAGTTTAAGGTTTTTACTTAAGGAAAGAACATATATATTATACTGAAATTCCATAAAAATTATACATTATAAAACTTTATATTTTTATGGAATTTTTATATTAAATTTTTTATTGGGATTAGAATTTAACCTGTGGTCTGACCACTATTCTCTTATTCAATCTAAAGAGGATACTGATAATAATGAAGAATTATATGAACAGTTAGAAGATAACCCAGCTGTTCATCTTATTAAAATTGTAGGATACACTATTAAAACTGATCCAACTTACTTGAAGCAACTAGAACCTTTGAATTACCACTAACAGCAGACTTTTATGAAACTTTTGAGAGAATATTATGACACTTATGCCAGAAGTCAAACAGAGATAAGACGAACAACAGAAATTAAGCATAGTATCTATACTAAAACGACTATGCCAATTACTCAAAAACTATATCAAACAAACCCTAAAAATACCAGATTTTTGAATCAAAAATTAAAGAAAATGAAAGATAATAGTATAATTCGACTCTCTTATAGTCTATGAGCCTCATTTATCATAATTATAGAAAAGAAAGGAGGCAAAAAAAGATTATGTGTCAACTATCAAAAAGTCAATACTATCACAAAAATTGATGCGTACCTATTACCAAGAATCGATGACTTATTGGATTTATTAGGTAGAGCAAATTAGTTTACTACTCTTAACTTAGCTAGTGGTTACTGGCAAGTTGCAATACATCCTGATGATATTAAGAAAACTGCTTTCATCACAGCAAATGGATTATATAAATTCTTAGTTTATGCCCTTAGGTTTAAATAATGCATTTGAAATATTTCAAAAACTCATGAATTGGGTTCTTAAAGATTTTCTTGGATTATTTGTGTCAGTTTACCTTAATAATATAATCATCTATACGAAAGGACCTTTTGAATTACATGTTGACTATGTTAAACAAGTATTTCAAGCTTTTAGGAATGTTCATCTTGCAATAAAATTAAAGAAATGTTACTTTTGTCAACCTTTCTTGGCATTTTTAGGACATATCATGAGACAAGAAGGAATTCAACCTGATTCAGAAAAAATCAAGAAGATTGAAGAATTTTTAGAACCAAAAAGCTTGACTCAACTACATGCTACATTAGGACTATTTGGTTATTATCAAAATTTATTAAAGATTTTGCATGACATATCAAACCTTTGACCTTATTATTAAAGAAAGATCAACCTTTTGAGTGGAAAGAGAGGCAGCAACATGCTTTTGATCAATTAAAGAAAAGGCTTATCAAGGTACCAATCTTATAGTACCCAGATTTTAAAATACCTTTCACCTTATATATTGATACTTTAAAGAAAGGATTAGGTGCTGTGCTATTTCAAAAAAAAGATAAAAAAGAGTATATTATTGTATATGCTAGTAGATCAACCAACAAAACTGAGGAAAATTATACCATATCTAATTTAGAGTGTTTAGAAATTATTTGGTCAATTATATATTTTCATCATTATCATAATCAATAATTCATTATTGTAACTGATCATGCTGCTTTAAAATGATGGAAACTTCAAAAATGCTAAAAGGAAGACATGCTAGATGAATCATAAAATTACAATAATATCATTTTACCATCGAATATAAAGCAGAAAGCATAATGCAAATGCTGATGCATTATCTCAAATGTATGATAAAGAGACTGCTAAGTGTTTTATAATTAACCTTACAGAGACAGATATAGCTAATGATGAAGATGAAAATATTAGTATGATAGAAAAAAATGTAGAATGGCACATTTCTCTCCTAAATCTGAAGAAAGTGATGAATAGTTTGAAGAAGAATTATCTCGATAATATTCAAATACTATTCTAATTACTGTCATTAGTTATAAATCTCTTAAAGACAAATTAGAAGAAATCTACCGGGAAAATATAAAGATTAAACAAGTAATTACTAGACAACCTATCACTAGAGGAGGATCACAATGTATATTCTCATATGATACTAAAAACTATCATATTTACACATATTGCAAAGTATGCAAAAAGAATTTATTATATGGAACTATCATACATAATTGTATCATTAGATATGGTTTAGGAAAAATCCAACTAGATATGAAACCTGAATATTTGACTAATGACCTTTGGTGGGAAGAATCTCTCTTAGTACAACAAGAAAATCTTCATGCACAATTATATTTTCACCTTAGTGATATTAATAATGCACCTCTTTTCTCCTCTTACTAAACATAGATCTGAAAATGACAATCCAGAATTCTGTCAGGTATCAATAGGCATCCTTATTAGCATCTGGTAAAATGCCAGTTAGAGAATATTGTACAATATTACTAATTACTAATTGTAATCAGATTTTGTACTTCATTAGGTTATGATCATCCCAACCAAAACGGACTGATTATTAAAAATTGATAATGCCGATAACAATATTACTAAAAATAAAGTACAATTAGAATAACAGCTAATCTTTTAATAATGATCAGTTGGAATAGACTAATAGACTTGATTTATTTGATAGCTTGTTCTATTATTTCTATAAGATTAATTAGGAATATTCAATTTATGTATATTTTTCAAATTTTAATAAATTGTAAATTGCATATTTTTTATTTTATATATTAAATTACAACATTTCATTATTCTGATTTTATACACATATCGTAATATCTACAATTTAATGTGATATAAAAGTAAGGGCTTCTGATGATCATTCTGCGTAAGCTTTTTGTATAACTGTCTTTAACGAATTGTTGTAATTACTAACGATCCATTTGAGAGCTTAAAAAGACTTTAACTATTCTTTGTCATAAAAACTATTATTATTATAAATTTGAGTCTGCTTTTTCAGAACTTTAGAAGACTCAGTAAATAAACGATCAACATAATCACGTAAGAACATTCACAACTACAATATAATAGTTAAATATTTCAATATTGAAAACTTAGTAAATAATATTCATAATCATTATTAATCTTACTGTTCTTAAACGCTATTTTAAATCCTTTATAATAATTTTCCTTTTACCAGAAGAGTCTTCTTCATCTATCTCTAAAATTTTAGTGAATGATAAGCAAAATTACTTATAATTAGTCAAAGTTCATTATTCTTAAACGTTTTAATTAGTGGATCTTCAATAGCTGTCAAGTTGTCAATTATATTAGCCCTATTTGTTCGCTTCTGTAATTATAGAATAGTAAAATTAGTAAAACAAATAAAAAGAACCATATTTGCTACTTACATCATTCCTTTTACTATTTAGATGCTTTTATCTGACTTGTTTGTTTTAGAAGGTTTCTGACTATTGCTTTTTTAAATACTCTTCTTATCAGTGTTTATGTCTATTATAAATTATATCGTAAATAATAATTTTAGAAACTGGATATATAACTGGATTTAAAGTTCTCATAATAGTCAGGATTATTATGCCATTTATAAGATTTCATTGAGCATTAAATGTTTGGTCTAATTTTAATTAATCTTGTGATGGAATTCTTTCAATAATCCAAAAATTTGACACTGAATACAAAAGTTTATTAATATGTATTTATATTAGTAAACTAAAAATAAATGAAAAATTTACTTACCATTAAGGCAGTTTGAAGATCATTCAGTATATCATTAATATTTAAATATTTTTTAGATCTATTACAGATATCTGAAAAGCTTAAAATTGATCATGAGCGGTGACTTCTTTGACTTTGACTTTAAGCACGTGACTGAGATTGATTTTGACTTTGAATATGTGACTGAGATTAACTTTGATTTCTTTGAGTTTGACGAATTCAGGGAGTATGCGAATAAGTTTTCTGAAGGTCTGATGGGAGTAATTTTAAAGTAAGTATTAAGGTAATTGAGTTTGAATTTGAACCTTTGATTAACTTTGATATTGACTTTGGCTTAGAGCACAAATTTGACTTATAGCACGAGACTGACTTTAGCTTGAAATACAAATTTAACTTGTAGCACAAGACTAACTTCAGCTTAAAGCACAAATTCGATTTATAGCATAAGACTGATGTTAGCTTAGAGCACAAATTCGACTTATAGCATAACTTGCAGTACAAGACCACTCAAGGTTTTTTAAGAAATGATCTTGAGACAAATATTGAGGTAATTGAGTTCAGATTTGTCAACTTTGACTTTGACGATTTTTTTAGCTGACTTCTATTTTCATGATTTATATCAAATAGACTTGGTGTTGATTCTAATTTCTTTTGGTTTATTAAAAATTCTTTAAACATATTTTTAATCTCTTCATTTTGTAAAAACAAATTAACTTGTCCTAAAATAAATAAATGTAAATATAATGTGTAAATATAATGTAAATATAACGCACATTTATTGATAAAAATTAAAGCTTACCTTCATCATGATCACCTTTCTTATCATGTTCCTTTGAATATTCTTCGTAACATATTTCATCTAATTCTGAATAATCATATGATAGACTCTTATGTCTATAGTTAATATTGATGGTTATAAGTTATTATGAATAAAAACAAATAATATCATTATGACTTGACTTGCCGATTATGACTATAACTTTTATCATAACTTTTTAAGTGTCTCTTTCTATCTATTGGCTATCTATCTCTACTTTGCCTATGATCACTTGACTGATCACATTCAAAACAAGAAGAGTTACTTATATAAGAGTTGCAAATTATAATAAGTAATGTCTTGATAAAAATATATTAAATAATTTTTTGGTCTAAAGCACGTCCTTTTATATTTTTTTAAAAATATATTAAATAATTTTTTTTGAGTCAATCTAAAGCAAGTCCTTTTATATCTTTTTAGAAGTATATTAAATGAAGTTTATTTATTACTCATATATGCGATTAGACATTTTAACTTAAGTTCCTCATATGACATATGTGATTAGACTTTAATTTAATTTGGTTTATTCAATATATGATTTAATTTGGATTTAGCAAATTCAACAAAGCATGCTTAAATTGAGTTTGAGTATATTATGCTTCAAAAAGATAATTTAAACATGTTCATTTAAATGTGTTTGATTAAAATATATTATATATAATTTTATTGTGATTTAGTTTATTCATACAATCCTCGGTAAAAATATGGCAGAAACATATTTTGATGGTATATACAAACTTTATTTTAATGTATATTTTTTTTTATTATTTATAAGAATAATACTAATGACAACTTTTATATTATTAATTAATATTTGGTGTGTTCTCCTTCAACATTGATACATGCTTTAACCTGGCTTGGCATGCTCTCGATATACTAAAGTAATATGTCATCATCAAGATCGTTCTATTCCTGCTAGATTGTATTAAGGAATACATCGCAGGTAATGCTTTTTTTTTGCTACTAAATATTTAATCTTTTTCTTCACCTTTCCCTTTAATACAGCCCATATATTTTCAATAGTGTTCAAGTCTGGGCTGTATGAAGGTCAAGAAAGAACTCATCCTAGAAGATGTTTTTTCAAGTTCCCTTGAACATTATATGAGGTATATTTTGGGTTATTATCTTGCTAGAAGACCCAGCTATGCCTGTATAACATATCTGCATTATTATACAGATAGTCGTCTAAGATTTTTTGATACAAATGATGATTCAAATTTTTAGTAAACAAATGAATGCTGATTTTTTCTTTAGTACTAATTGCTGCTCAAACATGAACCTTGAATGAGTGCTTTACTATAGGAGCAATTGGTTCTGCATTATGAGATTATACACACATAGTATTTCTAAACATCTGAAGTGTTATTTTATCAGAAAAAATAACTTATTCCAGTTGTATCACGAATGATCATATGCCTAAAACAAAATAAAATTTCTTCACTTTTTAGGTCAAGAGAGAAACCTTTCTTGAAAGAACAGAAATATACTTAAGATTGTTAAGCTCACAACGTATCATATGTTTACTGACATTAAGGTTGGATCTTTTTCTTCCAATTTTGCCTTAATTTTGCCTGCTGTAGTAAAATGATTATGTTGCAAAATCTTTCCAATATGGCGGCATTGATTTAAAGCCAATTTTCTTAACAGCTAAAAGAATGATCAATAGAAATTTTTTCAGTTTTATTTAGTAAACTGATATATCATTCACATATATGCAAAGAAATGTACAATTGATTAGAAATTTCCTTTGAATTACACACTTTTTGGTCCCAAAGTGACTTAACAGAATTTCTTTGTATTTTTAAAGAGCTTGGCATAGTTTTGGAAAGGTAATCAAAATAAAAGCAATTAACAAACCTTATTTTTTTTAACTTACCTTTTTAATTCAGATTCTAATGTCTGATTTGGGCATATAAATAAATGCTTAAATCTGGAAAATGGTAAAACCGCAGCCTAAAATAGATGCAGTCTTCCACTGCCATTCTTTTTGCTAGGGACTGTACTACTCTTATCCAGATGAAATTAGTTTGTATTGGATTTAATTTTATTCAATTTAAATAAAATCATTCAAATATTTTATTAATATTAATATTAACGTAAAAGTAGTCCAAAGAATTAATTAATTATTCATTAATAAATTTATATAAATACAACTAGTACATCCAATTTTACTGATTTCTGATTTATATTTTAAAATGACTAAATAACAATGAATTGAAAAACCAATACCTAAAAGAAGTAAAAAAATTTGATTAAAAGTTTCGTATTATTATAAATTATGTAATGGTAAATTAGTTGATGCAAGAACTAAGAGAAACATGAAATGGAAGAGAGACAGCTTAAAGAATCAATTGTCGATTTGATGATAGAAAACAAAAGCAAAGAAAAGAAGATTCAATAATATTGGTTCATCTTTATGATTTAAAAGATAGAAAAGTTTCCAGATCTGTCTCAATTGATTCTCATCAAAGTGTCTAAGATGATGTTGTAATGATTGAAGATTGAGAATTTAATGAAGATATACCAGTAGTTGTCAAAAAGAAGCGTAGAAGATATGATTGATTTAATAAGGTTACTGCTATCATTCTAGACAAAGAAATAGGACAACCAAAATAACAAGCCAATTCATTTGATGATATATATTCTGATAATAAACCAATCTAGAAGATAAAGGATAAAGTAAAGGTAAGTAGGAGAGGAATCTACCTTAAGGAATAAAGGTTGTTTAAATATTATTATTTTTTCAAACAAAAAAAAAAAGATTTGAATCTACCGTGATGCACAGTCAGGTGCATAATGAAAAAATTTTTTTCTACTATTATGTATTGTCTATTCCTATTGTTGATTATTGATTTAATTATAAGTTAATTATTTGATTAATAATTTTGTTTATTTTTTTTCAATTTTTGATTTTATAGGTTATGGTCAACGCCCTTTTAGACAAATGCAGGCGCAGCACTTCAGATGGACCCTTCAGCTATAACTTAATAAAGGATATATTACAATTAAAGCAGTAGAATAACCATAACTAGCGGTGACAAAATCGCCATACACCAACCTAATTTAGTTTCGCTTTTTATAAATTAACTATAAATATTTATGATATGTTTTTGATGGGATTACTTATTATGGACTGGTTAAGAACTGCTATAAATGAATTTTAAAGCTGATTATGCATTAAATCACTTAATGCTAAATGTGAAATAAAAAAATTTATATGTAAATCATAACGATGTGATTGGATGGGTTTTTGAGTGATTAATTATTATAATACCCAAAAAAATCATAATTTTTTCACCTTGGTTCGTCTTTCAAGATCAATTTCATGACCATGTTATTAGAATACCCTATTATTATTTTTACTTTTCTGATTATTATTTTGCATAGCTTTAATTAATTAACATTTAGTGATTAGCTTTAGTTTGCAACATTAATTAATTAATTTTATTGAATAACATTTACATCATAAATATTCAATTGCTAATAAAAACCCTCTGCTTATATTTAAATATATAAACACATAAATGAAAGAATTGAATACAACAGCATTAAATTTCGAAGTGATGAGATAAAATTTTTACATTGTTGGCTTGATATCTATAAACTTAAATGATTAACTTTTAATTCAATCTGTCGAATAAAATACAAGCTAATATTACAATCACGCCTATATGAAGACACAACAAAAGGCAATAGTAAATGAATTTAACAATTCCTTTATTGAACTCTTGGTTTATTCTAAAACCTCAACTTGAGTTA